TGCGATTTCACTTGAATGGCAAGCAACATATTGAATTTAACATGAAATTTTAAAGCAGAAAGACTCTAATAATGTTTATTTACAACTTCATATATTACAGTGTATGTATTAAAATATTAAACAAACAAAGTGTTAAAATTTGATTCATTAATAAGCATAAAACATACTAGGCTATATTTGTTTGATTCACTAAAAAGAATCAAATTCAGGAAAAAAAGTCATTCATTCAGGAATCTGCACTGGTTGTGCTATGTGTGTTTTATTCACTTACAGTGGTGGCCAAAATTATTAGAACACTAGTATTTTCACCAGATAAAAAATTATTTTAAAGGGGTGGTCGATTGCGATTTCACTTGTTTAATGTTTGTTAGTGTGTAATGTTGCTGTTTGATCATAAACATTATCTGCAAAGTTACGAAGCTGAAAGTTCAGTGCAAACGGAGATATCTTCTTTTAAAATTCTGGCAGTTTAATGCCTACAAAAACGGCTCGTAGGGACTACAACAAGGTACTTCCCGGGGCCGGTACATCAAGAACCCAGAATTTTAAATAAACCTCACCCCCTTTACATAAAGGGGGCGAGGCCATGCTGCGCTGCTTTAGAGAAGAAGAAGAGAAAACTAGAGGTGCACGTAAAAATCTATTCATGTATGAATCGCGAATTTGTCTTCTAACGATTCTAATGGATTCACAAGTTTCAAAATCAATGTTCTAAAGCAGTGGTTCTTAATACTGTTCCTCGCGTCGCCCTGCTCTGCATCTCTCTCTCTCTCTCTCACTCTCTCTCTCTCACATGCAGATCATCAGCTCAGTGAATACACTTATTTTAACATACTATAGCTATGAGAAGCGTTATTCATGGACGTGTGCGGTTGCCGAACTGTATTAAAGCTTTAATCAGAATAAAACCGTATATTAAAAGCTAACAGAAGCAGTAGCATTTACAAATAACAGCGTATCTAAAAGTATGAGACAGTTTATAAGACAAAAAATCTTAGTCCTACCCTTAAAAGCCGTGCTTGCACAGGTTCTGCGCGATCCTCTTCAATAATATCCTCTGCGTCTCAATCAGGCTCAAATTGATAAGCAATATAGACGACGTCATTGTTTACAATACAACCGGAGCACATGCTGCTATGTTGAGGGGCGGGACGTTTAGAGCGTGCTAGAGGCGGTTTAGCCAATCACAACACACTGGGCCAGCTAATCAATCAGAGCCCATCGTGTATTTCTGAGGGAGGGGCTTCATAAAAGCAGGAAATGATCAGTGCGTTCAGAGGAGAAGTGACAGAGAGGTGTGGAATAAAGGTAAATTATGTGAAAAATAATGCGTTTTTTAACAAACGAAGCATTAACACATGTTAGACTGCACCCCATAAACACAATCAAGCCTATAAAAAAAACAGTCAACCACCCCTTTAAGTCAGATATTTCTGTCTACAAACTGAGACAGACTAAATCCAAAAGAACTGTGGCAACGTCTCCAAGACGCTTCAAGAAACCTACCTGCAAAGCTGCAGTACTGTTAGGCACTTGTGTAAAAATGCTGTAAATTGAGGATGTTGTCAAAAATAGATTTTCTTTTTCAATTAACTTCTATTAACTAAATTAAATCAACATTTGGTGTGACCATCCTTTTCGTTTAAAGCAGTGTTCTTGGTTCCTAACCTTAGTTCTTCTTAATTATTTTCGCTAATCATAATTTCATGAAAATGCACACAAATGTTTCTTTTAAATATAATTAATTTTACCGCATACAAAAGCGATTAGTAAACTCGCCCTTTAATCTCATGAATGTTTCCTGACGTCTGACCTTTGTGAATATGCTTTGCTCACAGAACAAACAAATGCGTGATCAGATGGATTACTACCTGGGGAGTCAAAGGTCAAACTCCTATCTGCCATCAAACGGCAATGCGCAGATTGTCTACAGGTAGGACATGCAAATGATCCCGATAGCTACACGCAAATGTTTTATGCAAATAGTCACATATGCTTGATAACGGACAGAGAAGCCCACACATTCAAATTCATGTGTCTTCTCCACAGCAAACCACTGAGACCATCCACCCAGTCCAACAAGAGCCTCCCCTTCATCAAGGTCATTGAAATTAAATCATGAACATTACCACAGCTCTGTTATGACAACCGCACCATCCACAGTGCAGAGGAATACTAGCAACCTAACCATCACAGACCTTCACCAATGACGTGTGATTGCTTTGATGTCTAAAAGCCTTTTCTGCAAGAATACTTCTAACAGTGCAGAGTTACTGTTATTGCCATTATTACATACTCTAACTATGAATTATCCATGTAGATTTGACAGTTGTTAAAGAGCATATCCTTTACTATGAAGACAAATGAAGAAAACAAATGAAGAACTCATCTTTGCATTATTATGAGAATTGTAAAGGGCTTCTAGATGGATTCTGGGGGTATTTTGGTATTTATTTGAGGCTGGCCCTCTGAAGACGATGTCTTTCACTCAACATTAATAGACAGACAGATTGTGTTGCTAAACACCCTCATTGAGCTCTCCTTATCTCTCGTAATCTCGTTCGGTATTAGCTCGGCTAAACTTTAGTGGGTTTCTGAGTTCACAGAAATCACAGGTGAACATCTGTTAAAATTATAGAGACAATGGATGGGAAGAACATTTTTATTTTATTTTATTTTTTTATTTTATTTTTAAAAGAAGGACAACGGTATGTGAATTAAAGAAGGATGAAGGATTTTTGTATCTTAATTGTATCTATTTGTTAAGGCAGAAAATGTGTTCTGTGGTACTGTTGTGGCTATTGATATTTTTTTTACAATAATTCAGCTCCCGTTTAATTGATAACTGATGATGAAAGAACTGAAGGGGAGACCCAAGTTCATCCTGAAACAAAAACTGCAACAAATATTTATTTTTGCTCTACATGCTTTTCTCAACCAAAGAGACACAGCAGGGAGAATCCAGTGACTCACCTTCTATGAAAAACAAAGACGCCTTGTGAGTGTTTCATAAGTTTGAAAGAATGTAACACTTGTGTCCTCCAGTGAGCCAGGCCAGTAGGGCACAGTGTGACCGCTGTTATCCAGTCCAGCCAGCCTCTGCAGTACAATCTACAGTTACTCAGTTAGATATTTCCAACATCAGTAAACTGGTTTTATAACACCTAGTTAGAGAAGTGATGTGATTGGCCGGAGCACCTGCCCACCTCAAAGTAATGTCATGTGAACCATTAATAATACCACAGCAGAGATTATTTATGCTTTGTTAATTTATTTCTGGGCAGGGCTGTGTTTAAAAATGCATTTCATAACCATGTTTATCCACCTTCACATTTGTAGATAGTGTGTATATTTTCTCTTTGTGTGAACTTTTAACCGTATGTGAATTTCTTAGGCCTCATATTAGCATGTAATATCTTTTGTTATTTTTTAATAATATTTTTGTAGTAAAAACGAGTGGTTTGCAATGCTTGAATTAATGGCATCTTGTATATTTAAATAAATTTGTTTCATGAGTGTTGTTGTTGTCTTGCCTTTTCTGTGTCTGCAAAGGAATGTGGTTTATGGTTAGTTTTATGGTATCTTAAAAACAATGAAATATATATCCTATCAAAATTTTATGACATGAAGTAGTCTGATCTCCACTGTAAGCACACCAGGATATTTTATTCCCCTCACATTGCTTGTCCCCATATTTTATCTTCAAGTTGTTTGAGGGTCACAATTGCCTGTTAGGAGCTTGCTTATACATACGCTGCTGTAGATTATTATTTAGCAATTCTGCACTAAATGAATCAAAAGTCATAGTAAATACATTTAAAACGTAACTAACTACTGCAAACAACGTCACATTCTATTTCACATAAACGCTGTTCTTTTTAACTTTGTATTTATCAAATAATTCTGGGGGAAAAAATTATTTGAATTATTATCTTACTTTGATAATAAGAAATGTTTCTTCAGCACCAAATCAGCATTTTAGAAACATTTCTGAAGAATCATGAGACACTGAAGACTGGAGTAATGATGCTGAGAATTCAGCTTTGCATAACAGAAATAAATTACATTTTACAATATATTACAATAGTGAACCGTTACTTTAAAATGGAACAATATTTCACAATATTACAGTTTTACTGTATTTTTAATCAAATAAATGCAGCTTTGGTGAGCATAAGACAAAACGATAATTTTAAAAAAAACAGACATTTGAACATTTGTGTATTGTATGCATTAACTATTTAAGAAATATTAAAGGTCTGATATAATATATATATAAGGACTGGAGTAAAAAAAAAAAAATGAATAGATGACATCAGGGGAGCCCAGTTCTATTCCTGGAAAGTTCAGCTCCAACCCTTATCAAACACGCACCAGCTAAACCAGCTAATTGAGTTCCTCAGAAACACTTGATAATTGCAGACAGGTGTGCTGGAGCAGGGTTAGCACTGCACTGAACTGAACAGGGAAGTAGATCTCCAGGAACAGCCCTGGATTACATACCGAACCAGTGACGTCTGGTTAGAAGAGACCACTACTGACAGAGCAGCGCAGGTACAGAAGACGCAGACAATTTATTAGATCTGATAAGACTTTAGAATACAGTGAAAGTCAAAATAGACAGTCTCTCATACAACAACCATATCAATTCATGACTCAAACCTATACACACATTTACACCAACTCATTTAAAAAATACAATTGCACTTGAAAAGAAATAATCAATCGCACAGAAGTTAATAAAATTGTCTTTCATGGATGTGGGACAGGTTCTTATTTAGAAACCTCAAACTGAAGTAGCCTTCGTATAAAATTGGACAGTTAAAGGGCTAGTTTACCCATGAATGCATGGGTTAGTTGTTCCAAACCTGTTAAGAAATTCTTTCTGTTGAGCACAAAAAAAAGGTATTTTGAAGAATGTATGTTTTGTTACCAACATTCTTCTTCTGTGCACAACAGAAGAAAGAAACTCTCATAGGTTTGGAACAAGTGGAGGGTGAGTACATTTTAATTTTTGGGTGAACTGTCCCTTTAATGTCCATTCAACTATTTTTTAATTCATGTGTTTGTTCCAGTAAAGTCAATCCAGTTAAAATGCTATCATCTCAGTTAAAGGGCGCTTTGTTGGCGCTCTTTGGACAAAGATATAAACTTTACACTCCCTGTTCACATTAAAAGGCCATTCTCGCAAATAAAAGCAGGTAAACAGTGACTTTTAACATTAGACAAAAAAGCTCTTCCTGTTAGCTCCATCAGAAAAACTTTAAAACTACAAACATAACATTCTCGCATTGCTCTCAAAGCAGTTGCACGGATGGTTATCCCACAGATTGTGTCATATATTAAATCATTCTCACATTCTCAATGTGATTTGAGGCCATTTGACTATTTTCATTTCTACATGAAGGCTTTTCCAGTGAGAACTGAACACTTCTGATTCACAGTTTCTGAGTTATATTTACACAGTTCCTCAAAAGGGTTCCAATCTCTAAAGTGTGCTCTCCAGTGTATTATAGTTGTCTTTGAAGTTTTTGAGCTCCAGGAAGTGTTTGGGCCTCTTGCTGCGCTGTCCGGTGGACGGCAGGTACGTGACCTGAATGGTAGAGGCAGACGGCGGGCCAGAGGAGCTGGTCAGATCTTTAGCTGCTGACTGGTGCTGCTGGTTTAGACTGGTGGTGCTGGAGTGGGTCTTCACACTGTGGAGAAAAGAGGAAGAACAGAGTGAAAAGAGAGATAATTTGAGAGATAAACAGCAAAAATTGGACAGCAGCACTTACACAGCAGCCAGTTCTGCCAGATCGTCCTTGTACTTGACGAACTCTGCCTCACCAAACACCTACAGGAAAGAAATCGCAAGCCTCTTATATGTGTCCTGCAGCGCCCCCTGCTGTACAAAACCATTTAACACACATTTGCACTCAGACTGACCCCTGTCCCATGGCGAGCGTTGTCGTAGCCCTCCAGTAAGCGATCTATTAATGCACAGTGACTTGATTTGTACAGAGAGTGAGAGTTTCGCAGGTCCTGCAGCCACTTCTTGTAGCGGCGGCCGGTCAGAGCGCTGGCACTGTGACATAACTCATGAAACGGGATATCTACAGGTGGGACGGAACCAGATCATGTCAGATCAAGCTAGACCTGTATGCATACAGTTTTCTATTTCACAAGCTCATTACAAAATGATTTTCACCAGGTGAAACTTAATAATATAGTACACAAATATAATATAAGTTAACACTGCATATTTAATTCGTAAGTTAAAAATGAAATGTATATTCCATTATGTGTATAATGTAACTAAATGATTATAAATTTAATATTCACCACTGTTCAAAAGTTTTGGGTACATTTTTTTTCAAGAAATTAATTATTTTATTCAGAAAGGATGCATTAAATTTCATTAAAAATTAAATGAAAGACATTTTAAATGTTACCAAAAAATCTATTTTAGATCAATTACGCTCTTTAAATAAATAAATCATATAACAGTTTCCACAAAAACATATTAAGCATCACAACTATTTTCAGAATCAATAATAATAAATGTATCCTGTGCATCAAATCAGCATATTAGAATGATTTTTGAAGAATCATGTGACTGGAGTAATGGCCACTAAAAAATTCAGCTTTACATCATAGGAATAATAGAAATACACTGAAACAGAAATCAGATCAAATAAATGCAGCCTTGTTGAGCAATATAAGACTTTTTTAACAAACATTAAAAAAAAATCTCACTCACCCCAAACTTTGTAATGGTAGTATATAAAAAGAGTTGCAAAATTGTGTTTTGTGAAGTTATGGCAGTATTATTAATGTTATTATTAGTATTACTATAAATGTAAAAATGTTTACTGAAACAAATGAAAATGAACATACCGGAGAACTAAAACTATGCACTAAAATGCATTTTAATGTCTCCAAAACTAAATGAAATAAAAAATGGCCTTAAAATCATTTTAGGTTTTTATGCACAGCATATTATTAAGTACCTCTTAACTAACAGCTCTGAACTACAAAAAATAAAACAAACAAATTACAGTAGAACAACTCTGAGAAAACTAAAAGACAGAGTCAAAATAAAATGTAACGTGTAAACTGAAACAAAAACTATACATTTTCTAAATTACTGTAGAATTGTGATCATTTCTAGATCAAATCATCAAATTAAATTAAAATGAAAACGTCTAGGCTTTTATATTAATGAGAATTTAAGGTAAATTAATATAAAACGTCTTTCCAGTAACCACTGGGCTTGACACGACACAATCTTTGGCTGCACGCAGTCAGAAGGGGGTCTCACCGGAGTCTCTGATGGCATCTAACGCTTGCATTCTGAAGAGGTAATTATAACAACCTGCACAAACACAAACACAGACATAAGTGTTCACATCTGCAACAGTATTTACAAAGAACTTCCAGGAGCTTCTTTGTTTCTCTCACCATTCTGGCCTTGACGATTCAGTCGATTGTCATCTTTAGAGAGTAAATGTGGCTCATAACGAATATCGTTCACTTTTGACAAACTGGAATCAATCTCCTCTCTCAGCTCCTGTGAAAGATGCAGCCTTTCTTCAGTGCATTACAAACTTACTAGTAGTTGCAGCAAGAAGCATCATAAAGGTATAAACAGAAGAACAGCATCATATAAACGAAAGTGGCCAGTTATATTGTTAATACAATGCAAATTAGATGCATATATGGGACTCTCCACAAGAATCCAGAAGGTAAAGTCTGAAGACCGAAAATTACTTTATGCCTAAACAATAATTAAGTAGGAAGTAAAACACAAATAATACAAATCATAAGACATGGAGACGTTTAACTGTTTATAATTTTATACTAACAGTTTCCCAAAAATATCTTAGTTACTACAATAAACCAGGCAAGTATGGTCTCAGAGGAATTAATCAAATTAAATGTCCTCTACAAAGACACAAGTGCCATTTTGGATGTGATACCTTTGGTGCGTTGTGACCCAGCGGGACGTGCGGTCCTCTGCGAGACTTCATAGCGAAGCGCATAATCTGTCTTTTCACAAAGATGAACAGCAGCACAAACACCTGCAGAATCACAGACGGTTCATTCTACACATTGCACACTCAAATAACGTTACAGTTCTGACACGGCCTGCTTTATTTTAGCTGGTATTCTCAGCAGACAGAGGCTCAAACGTTAATGCGCTGCTTATCTAGACAGTACTTTTCAGGCATCATGGGTGCCATAATACGACGCTTTCTGGATGGGCAACTCATAACGTTAGGTTTTAAGACAGACACCTTGCTTCAGCTTTACTGCTGCTGCTGTAGTTGTTATTACTATTAGTCAACTAAGCATTTACGTATTCAGACTACGTTCAATAATTAAATTAATACAAATATTATGCAGTTGGGTACTTACCAAGCTGCCGAAGGCCATAACAAGCACAACATTTACACCGGAAAGAGTGTTTCCTTCTGCCATTTTGAGATCCTTGTTAAATACTCATGAAAGGAAGATGTCGGTCGATTTTAGTGGTCAATGGTCAAATTTAGCTCTCGAGTTGACAGCAGCACTTTCAATAGATTTGTTGACATCTCTTGTGGTCTCTTCGTCGCATGTTTTGCACGAAAACTTCCATCTACTCGTCTGTGACGCCACCTTGCGGCTTGGCATAAATAACGCAACAAAACCCTCTCTCTCTCGCAACCAACTTGTTCAGGTGCATAGTTAAAATTATAAACAAAATAAATAAATAAAAATAAACACACACACACACCTATAGGCTATAATGTGCTCTGTATCTTTAAGAAAATTAAAGACACCTTACATTCCCCCATTTTCTTACCTGCTGCCAAAATCCCCCTCAAACTCCATTCTTGTTCCAACTCATATATCTGATCTTGCAAGATTCTCCTTTCTGTATTATATTTTTCACGCAACAAAGTCTTGTCGTCTTCTTCTTCTTTTTATAGGGGTCATATGATGTTGCTAAAAAGAACATTATTTTGTGTATTTGGTGTAATGAAATGTGTTTATGCGGTTTAAAGTTTAAAAAACACATTATTTTCCACATACTGTACATTATTGTTTCTACTCTATGCCCCGCCTTTCTGAAACGCGTCGATTTTTACAAAGCTCATCGGTCTGAAAAAGCCAGGTGTGCTCTGATTGGCCAACTGTCCAGTGCATTGTGATTGGCCGAATGAGACGGAAATGTTACGCCCCTTACCATACTGTGATGCCTGTCCCGGCCAAGAGCAAAGAGACAAAAACATTAAAACCCATTATAAACGAAGCAGGCATTTGTTGCATCCAGTGGGGACATAATTACTGATTATAATGACTTATACTGTCTTTTTACGCGTAGCGTTGCGTTGCATTGCGCCGCGTAAACATAAAACCCTGGAAGCCCCGGCTTAGCGTGAGCTGAGGCTGGGCTAGAGTGAGCTGAGGCCGGGCTAACGTGAGCGGAAGCATCGGCTTAGCGTGAGCGGAAGCCGGGCTAGAGTGAGCTGAGGCCGGGCTAGAGTGAGCAGAGGCAGCAGGGTCGAGAACGGCGCGCCCGGCGGATCCGACGAAGGAGCGGCAACCACATGTGTCGGCCCTGGGCTGGACTCCGCTTCTTCCACGGTGAAAGCCGATCCGGCGATCGACAGCACTAAGTTGATGTATTCCCTCAGCGACCAGCACGGATCAGCTCCAGGCATGATGAAGCGGATATCGTCCTCTTTTGGAAGACCAAACAAAGTAGTTTCACTTTCACAACGAAGCACACAGCGTCTTCACGACATGGCTGCAGCGTCAACAATACTACAGTGAGAATAAAAGTTACGCCTTCTTTCTTTGCGTGAACATTTGCGCGGCATTATGCAAATCTTCCCACATAATGAGGTAGGTATGTGGGGCCGTGTTAGAACGAGCCGTTTTAGGTAGGTGTGGCTGACTCTTAACTTTTACAAAGAATATCTCTTTGGATTTGAGACTTTAGTCTTTGCAACTTTACAGATCTTCTTTATGCACCAAGAGCTTGTAACACTCCAAAGAGAAAGGAAAAATTGAAATCGCATCATATGACCCCTTTAAAGTTGTATGGCGGTTAACGCTACATCAGTTCAGTGTTTGTCAATAATGTCCAATGGGCCTTCAGCGAGGCACAGGTCATATTCAGGTTAGCAAAACAAATATCTCTGTAAATTGTTAAAAACAACACTATTTAATAAATTATTGTATGCATGTCAAAATAAACTACAAGCAAATATGCCACCATTGTATAGCCTATATAACAGCAAACAAAATACAAATACATTTGAAAAATATATATATTTTTATTTTTTAAAGTTTGCTCCTTATCAGATAAATGTTTCTCTTTTTTTCCCCTATTTTTAAAGAAAATACTTTTTTCCTCTTTTGACCACATGACGATGCCTTTCACATTCCAGCATCCTATTTTAAGGGAGTTACTCATAAGTGGCATATATAAGGGTATATAAATTTTCACCAATACCACTGTGTCTGTCGTTGTTCCAAACCACAATGCTTTCTTGTCATCTTTTCCTCTGTGTAAGATTATAGCTCTCTAGGAGCTCACAAGCCACACGCACATACTGTCAATGTATCCAAACACTATGCACATGGTTTTTCGACATTCTAGACTTGTTTTCAGTGAAAATGAAGTGAGCTGTCTGAGAACATCTGACTTGGCGGACAGCTGACCTTTATCGGATCAACACATTGAACAATGGCACTGATTCTTTCAGAAGGAACAGAGGTAGGTGGCAGATGCATGAAATGACAACAAGGAATGAAATAGTTTCCCAGTAACAACATACCGCAACAATCATGACTTTTTCTCAGGCCTTGGTAAAGAACGCTGGAATAAACTAGAAATGAAAGCTCTATATAGTACAGACTGTGGTAGAAAAAAGAAAAAAGTGACAGCCACTCTGTCCTGTTAAAAGTAAACCACACTAACCATTTGTATCCTGCATTTGTCAGATTTGTATGACAATCAGTGCAGAGATACGTAGTTATGATATCAGATAAGGCATTCAATTTTTAAAGCTGCAGTGAGGATGCAAATCTATTCAGCAGCTAAGTAGTTAAATTCCTCCACTGTGAGCGATTTCTCAAGTTGTTTTGGCTAAACAGGTCATCAAACGACAGAAGATGCTAAAACATCTAATTATACCGTGTGTCCACACAAGCAGCTCAGCAATGTGGCTTATTTTGTTTACTTTATCATTCCATCCCATCTTTCATGTCAGTGTGTTGCTTGAGTTTACTTGCAATCAAAACTGGTCGAAAGAAACAGTTGCCGTTACATTTTTGTCTCTCTGAAACCACAAACCAGCTTCCTCTGCCGTTGCCATCAGCAGTGTGCATGTGTTTGTGATGCAAGACAGACCGTTGAGTGATGATGGTTACTGCACACATACACATACATATTTATTCACAGAATGCTTTGAATGCTTGGGATTTGTGCTATTTGATTTGGTTGGCAATATATGTGTGAAGAATGTATTAATAGGTAATGTTTAATTAATTAATGTCATCTTTGGTTTAGTTATTTTGGTTAAATGTGGTGTACATTTATATCACAGTGTGAAATCAATATATGTTTATTGATCCTAATTAATAATAATAGTAATACATTGTATTATGTAATGTACATGCAAAAGCAATATAAAAACACCATAAAACATTTTCGAGCTTGTAAAAGGTCTGGCTGTCAAGCTTTACATACATTTCAAACATAACTCCCGCCCATCTGCTCTCTCTCAGCCTCTAAGCAGCTCCTTTTGCTGCACTCCTCATTTGCTCTTGCAGCTGCAGGAAGTTGAGCAACTCAGCCCACAAGTGTGCCACAGAAATACACCCAGGTAATCAATTGTCAAAATGTTTTGTTTCCTTTTACAATGCATATAGTATTATTATAATGTTTAATGTAATAATGCAGTTTTAAAGTCAATTACATCTTTTACTACATAAGGTTGTGCATGATCAGTTTTTCTGTGTATTGGGACCTCCATCTACAGGCTTTTGTATTTTGAATTCATGTAAATGATGCATGATGACAACTAACATGTTAAATAATGATCATGTGGTAGCCGTTTGCAAACAGGACCTTGGCATTTCTGGGTCATGGTTTTCAAGATCCTAAAATTATGCAGTATACTATGCCGCTGGTGTTTCTGGTTTCACTTTGGTCACAGCCAGTCTATTCAAAGTTTTTAATCTTCTTTTTCAAACACTTGCATTATTTTGCATTCTTTTCATTTTAAAAATGCTGCTTTATCATCTTTCCTTGCTGTTCACTGTTTGGTGCTTGATACTAAGTATGTCTTCAATTTTTGCCAACATCTGGCATACCTCTCTATATTGTATGTGTATAAGCTCACATTAGTCATATAGTGTTTCAGGTAGTGCTGTAAGTATCTATTTGATTTCTGATTCTCAAAGGGTCTGTTATTAAAGTAGGTCTTACTTCAATTTTTGCCAACATCTGGCATACCTCTCTATATTGTATGTTTATAAGCTCACATTAGTCATATAGTGTTTCAGGTAGTGCTGTAAGTATCTATTTGATTTCTGATTCTCAAAGGGTCTGTTATTAAAGTAGGTCTTAAAAATAGGATACCTGTTCCTCACTTGAACCACAGTATAACAGATCACTGATTTAACACCTTTTTTGAGAACTGTAAAGAACTGTGAGCAAGTAAATATGTACAGAGGAAATGAATGAGCAAAGATGGAGGGAAGACGAAAGATGGAGCAGATAAAACAACAGCAAACTGATTGGATAAACATATTTCCTAGCATTAGAATAACGAAACCCAAAGACATCACTAATGTAAAGACTGAAGGTGTGTTGTCTAATAATAAACGAGTTTCAATGCGTGCATCTGGTACTATTTGTAACATCATAGTAGTAGTTAATTGTCAAAATGCAGAAACTTTATTTGAATATATTAAACACAACTGGAGAGTTTATTATGCAGCTGAAGACCTGATAAAATCAAAACAAGGTGTTTTATTGTAGCCCTGTGTTGATTTAATATCATTTCAGTTTTAATATAGTTGGCAATCTGATTTTTTCAAATTTGTTTGTATTCTATTACTATTAGTTATGGACTTCAGATAATTAGGGTTACTGAATCAGTAAGTTTATTTATACATGATGACACAATGCATAATCAAATATTTAGATGATTAAATACATACTGCATGTCACTTTTGTCTTTTGTAAGCCAACTGCTGTCCATTTCACAGGTATACATGGGCTACAACTGTATTATGTAGGCCTGATAGTCCAACTTAACAAAAACCAGACATGTACGATTTCAGTTTAACTAAAGTGTTTACATTTTAATCCTGAAACTGACATTTTAAAGTGCGCTTAAATGTTCTGTTTCAAACAAACGTCAGTCCATCTTTAATTCACTTTGGGTTCTGAATTCATCAAATGTGTGAACCATGTTCAGAGGTCTTATAACTCAAGGACCAGATGTCTGTCACAAGAATTTACCTACTCTACCCTTTAACACTTACTGAGTCACCAAGAAACCACGGACCAGGAATGTTCTCATTAGACATGAAGGGTGTGCATGTTGACAGGTGTGTATGTGTGTATGAGACAAAGAAACTGAAACACAAATAGATGGAAGGAAAAAAAGAGAGAGGCAGACAGAAAGAGACGGGGGAGGAGAGAAAGAGGTAGGGAAATGAGAGAGGAAGGCACAACAATCAAAGGGGGTGGAAAAGGGTAAGCATGTCAAACCAGTCAGGCAAGTTCTTATTACAGTAGAAATGCATTATAGAAAAATGACAGGTGTGAGAGAGAGTTTAGAGGCAAAAGGCAGGATGGGGAACACCTGTTCTCTCAAAAAGCTAAGAGACACAGCAGTCCTCTAAGGTACGTTACTTCTATTTGAAGAGCTAAAACTCATGTATATGGTTAGATTATGTGGCAGGTAAAGTGTATGGCCATTGTTGTTCAAGTGCATGTTCCATGAGAGAACAGGTGTTTCTGTAAACTGACACTGACCTGTTTTCCTTGGAAAGTCTGAAATGTTGCAGTCATCTGGGACTAGTAATCTTATTTTGCATCCATATTTGTGAAATACAAGGCAGCAGTACAAGGCCATTTGTGGTTATGAGCAACCATGTAACAACCTATATTTACTGTGTCAACTGTTTTCAATCAGTTCAGGTTTATTTTCATCAGGTCTGTATTTGCGCTCCTGGAAGGTGTACGTCACACCTCCTCCTTCCACTCTATCTCTGCTCGCTGTTTGCTCATGTCTTTTATTTTAAACATAACTCTTGACGTATATAAATGTTCAGTTTAAGATAACAAAAGCAGTCTTCACAACAGAACAAGGTGGGGCAAACAAATCTGGAAAAGACCATTACAAAACCCTGATTTAAAATGTTAGCATTTCAGCTGTTGATTCAATATTGCCTAAAGAGTGTTTAAATTGATTTGTATGGAGATTTGCTTGCTTGATTGCATGTGACTATTATCAGATGTTACTGAAGTGTCTGAATGAATTTCATTGTGCTGCTTTGAATAATCGTGGGTGTGTAAGTGAGACAGGGTGCAGAGTTCCTGCTAGACTAATTTACATTATTCACAGGTTTAAAGGGTTAGTTCACCCCAAAATGAAAATTAAGCTGCGTTTTACTCACCCCCGATGCATCCTAGGTGTACAGGTGCATCTCAATAAATTAGAATGTCGTGGAAAAGTTCATTTATTTCAGTAATTCAACTCAAATTGTGAAACTCAAATTGTGAAACTCAAATTGTGAAAATAAATTAAATGCACACAGACTGAAGTAGTTTAAGTCTTTGGTTCTTTTAATTGTGATGATTTTGGCTCATATTTAACAAAAACCCACCAATTCACTATCTCAACAAATTAGAATACTTCATAAGACCAATAAAAAAAAATTTTTTGTGAATTGTTGGCCTTCTGGAAAGTATGTTTTGATGCCTTGACCCCAGCCTCAGTACATTCCTTGTGAAGTTCACTAAAATTTTTGAATCAATTTTGCTTGACAATCCTCATAAGGCTGCAGTTCTCTCGGTTGGTTGTGCATCTTTTTCTTCCACACTTTTTCCTTCCACTCAACTTTCTGTTAACATGCTTGGATACAGCACTCTGTGAACAGCCAGCTTCTTTGGCAATGAATGTTTGTGGCTTACCCTCCTTGTGAAGGGTGCCAATGATTGTCTTCTGGACAACTGTCAGATCAGCAGTCTTCCCCATGATTGTGTAGCCTAGTGAACCAAACTGAGAGACCATTTTGAAGGCTCAGGAAACATTTGCAGGTGTTTTGAGTTGATTAGCTGATTGGCATGTCACCATATTCTAATTTGTTGAGATAGTGAATTTGTGGGTTTTTGTTAAATGTGAGCCAAAATCATCACAATTAAAAGAACCAAAGACTTAAACTACTTCAGTCTGTGTGCATTGAATTTATTTAATACACGAGTTTCACAATTTGAGTTGAATTACTGAAATAAATTAACTTTTCCACGACATTCTAATTTATTGAGATGCACCTGTATATGACTTTCTTCTTTCAGACAAATCCAGTCGGAGTTATATAAAAAATTGTCTTTGATCTTTCAAGCTCTATCGTTGCACTCAGCGGGTGTTGCATTGCTTCTGTCCAAAAGATGTGAAATAAAAAGCACCTTTCCATAAAAGCCCAGCTAGATTAAAGTGATTATTACATTTTGAATATGGATATTTTTCTTACAAAAATGCATCTATTCGCTACAGGAGGCCTTTGTTCACCCCCTGCAGCCGTGTGAGACACTTTTTTTTATGGAAAGGTGCTTTTTATTTCACGTCTTTTGGACAGAAGCAATGCAACACCCGCTGAGTGCAACGATAGAGCTTGAAAGATCAAAGACAATTTTTTATATAACTCCGACTGGATTCGTCTGAAAGAAGAAAGTCATATACACCTAGGATGCATCGGGGGTGAGTAAAACGCAGCCTAATTTTCATTTTGGGGTGAACTAACCCTTTAAGATGCATTAATCCTGTATTTTTTTATATTCCATGTTGTTTATTCACCCTTAGAAAGAATCAAGTAGCTTTAGCAATGTGTGGACTCTGACTCTGTAACACATGTGGTGTTTGATAGGATTGTAGTCTGGTGTGTTTGACCTGTTATCTGACTGTGTATCAGGTTTTGTAAAAGAGTGTGACAAGTAGCATCAAGAATGCTGTCAGAGTAAACATACAACGAAATGCCCATATATACAAATGCTGGCTCACTGATTTTCAGGATGTTTCACACATTTTCAAGATGTTTCAGATTTACAGCCATTTGTCCAGAGTTTCTAGATGTTTACATATGAGGGTATGGATGCCATATACCTGGAAGAGATTTATGGACTCTCATTGTAATAAATACAGAGTTTCAGTATGTTGAAATCCTGAGGTACTAGAATGAAGCATTTACACTTTAAGTTGGAGATGGTATAGTTTAGTGATTAGCCTGGACCAGGTTGTAAATTCAGGCCAGAGTAGCAGGGTAATGATCCATTCAGAATTCAAATTAGAATGCCTTCACATTTCAATTAAATTGAAGTAAAATTAATTTATTAAACTTCATTTTTTTTTTATCTAACCTCCACATGTTGTTATTGCCTTTACATGACAGAACAAGATAAGGACCAGAGAGTACTGAGACGCATTACTAGCTATTTTTTGGATCCAGAGAGCGTGAAACATCTGTCAGAAGAGCAACAGAGTAAAGCTGAAGTTAGCAGGTCTCCTTCACCTCCCTGGATTACAAAACAGATTTATTCCTGCTTTTACAATGATGGTAGGAAAATACAGCCTGCCATTACAAGCAAAAAGAAATAAAAATGAGCGTGAAACATCTGTCAGAAGAGCAACAGAGTAAAGCTGAAGTTAGCAGGTCTCCTTCACCTCCCTGGATTACAAACAGATTTATTCCTGCTTTTACAATGATGGTAGGAAAATACAGCCTGCCATTACAAGCAAAAAGAAATAAAAAATTTTGCAGAAAATGTTAGCAACCAGCTTTCAATTCCTACTGTAATGAACACACTGTGTGACATTCAGCATGAGTTTGCATACTGGAACTTTTGTACGTCCGTTTCCTGAATCAGACACGGCTAGCAGCGCAACTGAAGGTGCAGAATCATCCAATGGAACGGCAGCACAAAGTCATAGTCAGTTATCTGTAAAGCCGTTTGGCTCCGCAGCTGCTAGATTCAAAATCCGCTCTGCTAAAACACTTACTACCAAGGACCTCAGGACAAAAAGCATTCTTTTCAAGGGTGGAAAAGTTGAAGACTCAAGTCAGAAAAGTGATCCTAGTAAGGACCTCAATAAAGCCTGTACTTCTGCTAGTTATACCCACACTAACACTGATGACAATGAGACGGGTAAAACGTTAAGTAAGGATACATGCAAGGTCTCAACTCTTCCCAGCAGTTCTGAGAAGGATGATGTGAGCGCTAAGAAGTTAAACACTCAAGAAGACAAGAGTCAAGCAGCAAGTGACAGGAGCAGAGGAGATGAGTTGAGGAGATTTTATCAGACAAACAAAAGCAAAAGCAAAAGCTTAGACTGGAGAGCAGGACATGGCAACAGAACTGGGATGACTAGTGGGACCAGAGAATTTGACAATTTAATGAGGCAATCTGATTTAGAGAGTTTAGAGAGAACAGGGACAAATGACAAGATAACTTCATACACGCAAGAGAATCAACCCAGTGGTGTTTCATGGAGGATTCAAGCTTTCAGTGCAGCCAATCAAGGCGATCAGAACAGTGACAGAAAGGTTTACCCAATCTCTGGGTCTACATCTGTGAGAATGAATCGGGTAAATTTTGCTCTGGAACGGGCAAACAGTGGCCAGTCACTCCCATCCAGATTGAAGCCAAGACTTAGCCAAGGTTCTATTGGAGAAGATAGCAGTCTCTGGCAAGGTGAATCAAGTCTTGATCAGACTGACAATAGGAAGGGATCCTGGGCCAGAGAGCAAGGATCTTCCAATGCTGAGGAAATAACTGGAAATCAAACAATAATAGAAAGAATTGCAAAACTGTTTGGGGCGGATGCCAACTCTGACCCACACTCAAAGGATTCAACCAAATTAAAACGCAGCAATACTGAAAGTTCTGATAAATCATTTCCCAAATCTATGGACACGGTGGACTCTACTCCAAGTCACAGAAAATATACTACTGACTATGTGTTTGGAACTTCTTTAGATTATACTGACAGCCAACAGGGGAAACCTTCTTACGATACAGAAAAGGCTGAGACATTCCCTAGAGGGTTTTCAAAAACAGACTTTGATCTGAAGCAAAACCCCTCTACCAACAGGGAGAACAGAAATGATCAAAGAGACACTTCCTCTGGATTAAGTTTTTCAGTGTCATCAAAGCCTAAAGGGAGTACAGAAACGTCTTCTGTCAAAAAACCTCAGCCACTTCTGCCTGATGACAGTGAAGAGACAAGCAGAACGTTGTTTACAGGGTCTTCAAAGTATTGTAGTCAGTCCTTAGAAATGACCAGAAGTAGACTGCCAGCAACTGCTCAATACAATGCTCACAGGAACCAGCCTGACAGTTCAAGCATCTCTAGCCAGGGTGTCGAACACCTGTTAACCACTTCTGGAGGAATCAAGGAGGAAACTGGCAATGACAAACAATCAGATAAAGAGATTACGAAAAGGCTGGACATAAAGGAAAACAAGTATCTTGGTGGTTTGCAAGATGGAATCACCCAACCTAAACACCCACTAGCTTCAAAAGGAGCAGCACACAATGAAATCCATAAAGAGGACAAGAAAGATGATGTATTCACAGGTAAAACTAAAGGAAGGAGAGGAGAAAGTGTGCTAGAAAAGTCCCGTTTACCATCCTCGGATTCTGTGAAGAATACAATCAGCATGTTTGAATCTTTGGCTCAACAAAGCAAAAGCACACCAGAGATTCTTCGCACCAGGAGGGCCTTATCTGTACCAGAGCATCCTAAGCCTGCGGCTCTAGTGAAGAAGAGTGATTCAGACAAAAATCTACATTTTGAAAATTTTGTAGGGGACACAGAAAGCATAAGAACACATTTCTTTAGCAAAAGCAATTCTAATGAGGAGGCTGAATGCTCTCTAGACCTAGGTAGAACTCCTCATTCAAATTCCACAGTCAAAGTAATACCAACATTAGAACAACACCAAGAGACACACAAAATGAGTGTTGAGCTTGCTCCAGCATTAAAACAAATTAATGAATCAAGAACTGATCAAGGTATCAGCATGAGTGATGCAGATGAAAAGAGGAATGTGAATAAAAAACACACAAAACACACGGATGAACCAGATTCTACTATCACTGCCCACTCAGTTCTCAGTGACATAGGGACAATGGAAGAAAAAGCAAGAATCCCATCAATCTCTCAACAGTCAAATGTCAAAAGTTTATTAAAGCAGAAGTCAATTAATGTAAAAATAGTTGATGATAATGACGATGAAAATACACCAACTAACTCACCTGATAGAGCCCCTCTCACAGTTAACTTTCAAAACCAGAGTAGCCCTGGAGCCATAACAGTCAATGGTACCCATTCCAAAGTGCTGCCCAATCATGTTCAAACTTCTCCTCCTATCCAGACAATATATTCCTCACTCAATAATTCTAACAACAACAACAATGAAACAAGGAAGGATTTGACCACAATCACTACTAGCATGGCTAGGTGGAGCTCTGATGAAGAAGACGATGATGAGGAAACAGACACTGAAGAAGACTCTGACTCAGGAGAGTCATCTGTGACTATCACAAGCAACATGAGCCAATCAGAACGCAGAAGTTTCTGTTTAAGGTAACTGATATGTAAAAATAGAAAAGTGACACAACTGATTAGACTCAAATGGAGTGTCAGCTTAGTTTACATGCACAAACCAGCAGGTTACCCAGTTTAAACACCCTACATTTCTTTTTCTTTAATTTATATCTCCACTGTACATAACCCCCTACTTTCTTTCTACATATTTACCAATTAGTCTTGTGGAACTGTGTAATTATGGTGGGGTGGACTATAAACCATCAGAGGATGATGAAGATGTGCCATCCACACGCTCTGCATCCTTGAGCTCAGACATCTCTGCCTTCTCTTCTGTGACTCTGCTGAGCACTGATGAACTTGATCGTTTACTGGATGATGTCAGGGCCTTGGGAGATGACACCCTACAGGTAAAACAAGTTATGTACATGTACTTTTTTTAATGTATAAAAGCTATAATTTGACAACGAAATACACTTAAACTGTCATGACGTAAATTTTGTTACAAAATAAATATACAGACAATTATAGATATGTGCATGCTAAGGAATTTTTAGAGAAAAAAAACTATTTCCTTTTGCTATTATAACTTGTACCTCTGATTTATGACAGAAATATGAAGACGTGCAAGTGGTTGTATTACACAAGGAGGTGGGGAGTGGCTTAGGATTTACCTTGGCAGGTGGAGTGGATCAGAATAAACCAGTCACAGTGAGTATCAACGAATGCTATAATGATGACTAATAGAAACAAATCCAGGTTATCAAACAAAATTCTATACAAAAATTAGCAAATGCATGAAAATAAGTGTAAAATGTCCCTGATTGTGTAGCTTTAAGTACACCACAATGCCTGTATGTTTTTGACTTTTTGGAAGTCATTGCTATTTGACTTTAACCTAAACGGCGAGTTTCACTCAAATCTCGTCTCTTAGGTCCACAGAGTAATAGCAGGTGGTGTAGCCGCACAGGAAGGCTCTATATTCGAGGGTGCTCAGGTGCTGTCGATCAATGGCACTGCTCTGCAGAACTCCGCCCACTGGGAGGCTCTGCGTACATTGAGAAAAGCGAGGGGGCAGGTCATGGCGGTGGTTGTTCTTCAGAGCGGTAACAGCAGAAAGGAGGTCACTGAAAGATCAGGAATCACAGGTGAGTGGTGGACAGATATCAAAGAGTAAGTGATCTGAAGGAAAACAGTTTCTTATACATATGCATGTGGTGGTCATTATGAATGTGAAAGCATCTGGAAATAAATCAACATTGAGGGAAGGTTTTAAGTTATTTGATAATAATACTGATTGCCTTACCTTGGAGACAGGTGAGATAAAAACTTGTAAAAAAAAGCAGAGTGTCTTGTGGAATCTGATGCTGATATTTTGTGTGTGTATGCCCCCTACAGGCAGCAGAGTCCGTGTTATTCTGATCAAGTCCAGCTCTGATCTTGGCTTCAGTCTGGAAGGAGGGGTGGGATCCAGCTCGGGAGACAAACCTCTCACTGTACAAAAAATATTCCGTGGTAAGACCAGTTTTTCCCGATTTGAAGCAATCCCATTCAACACAAATATTCAAGAAGTCTGTGAAAAGATAAATGTTCATGATCCCACCATTGCAAAAGTAAGGGCATGCTTACCTTACACTTTCTTGCTATTGGCATCCCTTTAGCGTGTGCTGAATCTCATCCCAAGTCCCTCAATAACAATTAAGTGTACTACTTGTTTCCAGGTGGGCCAGTCAATGAAGTGTTTCCTGGGGATGAGTTGTTGGGGGTGCAAGGTCAAAGTTTGGTGGGTATGATGCGTCTTGAGGCTTGGAACCTCATCAAGAAACTGCCCCCTGGTCCAGTGGAGGTCTTACTACACCGTCCTCAGCAGCCACGTTGAAGACCTCTACTTTCCTTCTTGTACCTCAATTCTCAAAGAAATCCAGTCATAATTTAAACACTGTTCAGAATTTTTGCTGTTACAGGTTCTATGACGTTATATTCTTGCAAATGTTCAGTTCTGCAATTACCATCATCATAACAATCATTCATCATAGTGTTTTGAAGTGTTTATTTTTTTTCTTCACTGATATTAGATAACTATAATTTAATAATGCCACATTTAAGGGCATAAAAGCACTGGAGGCCAGGAGGTCATTTTTTATATCACTTATTTTAAATAATGTTTAAGCTCTCACATTATGTAACTATTAATGTAATATTGCACTATCTGTCTTTATCAGATGCCATTACATTTTTTTTTATGCTACTATGTATATGTGTATATGTTGTCTGTACAGCACAAATCCGTCCCAATTAAACTTTTTTCATATTAAAGACAAAGGAAGCAACTACATTTCCTTCATATGGGATATTTATAACATTTACATAATTTTTTTTTAAATAACAGTAACAGAAAATCTATTAAGACATTTTAATTGTCAATCGGAAGATGCATCTTTTACAGAAAACAAATTTTTTATGAAAATGAATTGCTTTGCTTACAGAGATCTTTCAATACTGCTCCAGCTCACAGGTTCCATCCCTACTGCCCTTTCATGCCTTTTAAATAAAGAAAGAAAGAAAAGAAAAAAAGAAAAAGAAACAAATTGTTCTGATAAATCTTTGTATTTTGCAAAATCAGCCCAGAGCCTCAACCCTTAGGCTAAAACGATATTTTTCTAAACCAATCTTTCATTCAAACCAAGCAGAGAACAGTTAAGTTAATTTTACTCATCCTGTAAGAATATACCGTTTCAATTATTGCTTGGTTGAAACAGCAATACCAGTGCCAATGGTAACATTAAACATAATTTTAAACATGAACGGTGGCTTTGGGAAAGAAATTTGGGTGTACAGATATTTGAGCTAGATAATTACACAATTACCTAATTTCTATGTCATCTAATCTTCCAGTCTCAAAATGATTAGATTATATGGAAAAGCACGATAAGTGTTTTACAGCAGCGGATCATAGATCACTAATTCTTTCTCTTGCTCTCCTCTCTTTCTCTTTGTCCTACATGATTTTTAATGATTTATTAAGGGGTCGTAGTCTGGATCAGACAAGCTATGATTGGGTGTTGACTGCTTAATGTGGGATGTTTGTACCCTACAAGTGTATTTAAAAGAAGGTTTAAAGGTTAGCTGAGCTAATAGACACAGACTAAGTTCAGAAGATCATCTCTGAAGAGCGGGGCAGCAGGTTTTGCACAAAAACTAAAAGACAACACTAAAAATGAGTCGGGTAAAAATGATAATTAAGAGGATGAAGGTGAAAAATGAACTGGTGCGACAGATTATGGGAGAGGTCTTAGGCACCTTTGTACTTCTGGTAAGTTTTTGCATATTCACTATTAATCAAACTTTGAGCATAGTTATTGATTTATAGTGTTTTATTGTTGTTCTCACATACTATTTTTCAATGCTAATTCATGCTTGTGCAAATTATGTTAACTAATGTTATTTTATAATTTAAAGATGTAATATTATATGTAAAAATGAACATGAACCTATATTCATAAATGCTGTATAAGTATAGCTCATTGTAAGTTAACGATAACGAATGCATTAACTAATAAAGCATCCCTAAAAAACACATCAATGTTACACAAAACCGAGATATTTATATATTTTGATAGTTTTCTACATACTGTTATTGATTCTCTGAATATGGGCTAATATTAATATATAATTTAATCTCTGAATTTATTATTCAGAGATTTAATTTATTAATTTAATTTATTATTGAATACTCTTACAAAAGGAAAGGTTACTGGAAAATATAACAGCAATATCAGTGATATGTTCATGCATAAGATGCAAAACATGCAATTTAGAGTAGTTTATGTCTAAAATGATATCATATATGTTACACCATAGATAAGCTTTTACAATGGACAAATCCAATGTTCTGTTAACCTAAAGTACTTTGAGCATGTGCTTGTGGTTATATATGCTGACAATGTGTTTGTCGCTGCAGAAGGTTTTTACCTGAAATATCACCATCCATAATATAATAAATAATCCAGTGCAGGGTAAATATTTAGAGTACTATCAGGGCCAGTTTCAACAGAAATATCACATAATAATTTTACATTACTGAATATTACCACAGCTGCAGGTAACTGCACTCATTGCAGACCAAGAGCATGATTGTAATGGTGATATTTTTAATTCAACAGTTAAAACAAAATAAGAGTTTATTATTAAGTAACTTGTGTTTCTGACAAAATCTTTCCAGTTAATTTGTATATTTGTCCTCCACCAATAAAAATGGTTCAAAAAAAGTCAAAGCATCAAGCTTTGCATGCCACCAAACGTTAGTGTAAAATAAGTTTATACACAACTAGATATAACAAAATAATGTTATTATTTTTTCTGCTGTAGCTGTTTGGTTGTGCTGCAGCAGCTCAGGTGAAAACCAGCAGAGAAACTAAGGGGCAGTTTCTGTCTGCTAACATGGCTTTCTCTGTAGGCGTCATGTCTGCCATGTACCTCAGCAGGGCAGTATCAGGTAAATTGCTAATAGCTTGGGCTGTTTTGGGGCATTTAAGACTAAATCCTTTCTAATATTAATCTCTTTTTTTTTTGGGATCGACAACACTGACTTCTCTCTTAATATTTTTCTCTCCTTTATTTCCCCCTTAGGAGCTCATCTAAACCCAGCTGTATCTCTGAGTTTCTGTGTCTTGGGAGACCTAGCCTGGATAAAGCTGCTACCCTATTCTCTGGCTCAAATACTGGGGGCTTACCTCGCCTCTGGGCTTGTCTATCTCATCTACCATGGTAAGATAAAAAAGAGAGAAATTAGAAATCCTTTTTTTAAAGATGCATCCTATATTTTTCCAATAATTTCACATTCTATAATTGGCAGTTTTATGTTTTAAAAAAGAAAAAAAGAGGATTGATTTCTCAACTCTCCTCCAGATGCGATTATGGAGTTCAGTGGTGGAGTTCTGACTGTATTTGGTCCTAATGAAACAGCCAGTATCTTTGCCACTTACCCAACTGATGTGGTGTCAATGCAGACCAGCTTCCTCGATCAGGTCAGCAAAAGGCCACGGTAGATTAGACAAGAGCTCTGTAGTTCATGCAAGCACAGTAGAATTACTACTGATATAATAAAATTGTGTAGTCTAATCTGATCTGATACAAACTGCTCTAAAGCAATATAATATTATACAGCATTAAAAAGATTTTCAAACATTAATCAATTATCCAATATAGAGATCAGATCATGCCAGAAATAAAAAAGGCAGTCCCCTGTCTCCTGTATGTCTGTGTGCAGGTGGTCGGCACAGCCATGCTAATGTTGTGCATTCTACCTCTGAATGATAAGAGAAATGCTCCTGCTCCTGAAGCACTGCTCCCTCCAATTGTAGCAACTGTTGTCCTAGGGATTTCCATGTCAATGTCGGCTAACTGTGGAGCTGCCATAAACCCTGCCCGTGACCTTGGTCCACGACTCTTCACCTTCACAGCAGGCTGGGGCATCGAAGTCTTCACGTACGTAATCAAATCTGTCTACTACATCTATTAATGTCAGATTAACAAAGTCTCGTTATCTCTGCACATTTGCCTCCTACCTTTCAACTTGTATTTCCACCGATAAAATTAATTACTGGTTATATCACTTTGCTTAGATCTTAGTTCTATTAATGATCTCAGCACGTTGCCACATTGGTATTTTCACTGAAGTGTGTAACCAGAGCTTCATTTCTCTCAACACAGTCAGTTTTAAATGCCGTTTTTTTTACCCACACAGGTGTTATGATTACTTCTTCTGGATTCCATTAGTGGCTCCTATGGTGGGGGGCGTGCTGGGGTCCATCATTTATCTGGTCTTCATTCAGTGGCATCTGCCTGAGCTTGAGGATGAATCTGAGTCTGAGGAGTTTAATGAACAAACAAAGGTCACGGAGCTCAACAACAAAAAGGACGAGTTTTTCCATAAAATGTCTTCACTTTAAAGACATGGGGACCGCTGAATCTAGCTCATGGCATTTCCAGATCCTGTTTCCTCTCTTCTCCACATTATTTCCAGATACTGTAACAAAAAAATTGGGAAAAGGCCAAAAAAAAGACACTGGGTAGAATGTACTCAAGGTGGACTCTTAAATCTTTCACAGAAGAGCTAAAATCCTGTTTCCTCTCTTCTCCACATTATTTCCAGATACTGTAACAAAAAATTGGGAAAAGGCCAAAAAAAAGACACTGGGTAGAATGTACTCAAGGTGGACTCTTAAATCTTTCACAGAAGAGCTAAAGCCTTGATATACCAAATGTTATTTATTATTTCAACTCCCTTTCATCCCTTCTGAAATATTAAACGGGGACTTACTTTCAACCACATGAAGAAAATTTGCCTTCACATTGTCCATTGTTTCACAGAAGTGAATTAAAAGATTTGTGTACAGTAATATTAGCTATTTTTATTCTAGACCAGTGGCAGCTACACACACACACACTATATATATATGCTAGAACTTATTTCAGCTCAATTTATTAATTGTAATCTTGAATAAATTTAATATAACCATGTCAAACTCTCATATTTGTTTGTTGCCTAGTGCTCTTTCTAGTGTATTTTGCAAGTAAAAGTTGTTTATGCTACACCACTGTTACAGTGTGCACTTTTGTGGTGTACATTAACAGGTTCACAAACAAAGAGTTTTAAAAACCTGTTTGAAGCCACTATTGAGCAAACATTTTTCTGAACTTTGGGGAATAGGTATATTGATTATATGTACTCAGAAGGCCACCTCCATTTCATGGAATATCCTCCATTATTTCACTACACATTAAATTAAAGATCTTGCTATTAAATATAATGTCAATAATAACTGCAACCATACCGCAGGAATACAATTAAGTTATATCTTCTGTCATGCAGCAGTTTCAGTAATATTACTGATCAGGGAGTTCTGTTTAATTTCATCTGAGCAGACCCTTACGAAAAAGAAGTTTATTCAAGTGTGCTATTAGTATACTTCTTTTAAACAAAAAAATAGGAAAGTATACTTTCAGTCTAATTTTATGTACTTCTCAGAAATATACTTAAAATTACATTTAAGTATACTTGACTTATACTTAGAAAAAGTCTAAATATATTTGAGCTATACTTGTGCTCCTAGAATCAGTGTTTTCATTGTTATCCGTTAGGGGGCGCTAGTACACATCTTCTGTACAGAATTTCCCCCCAAAAAAACACAAGTGAAGAAGAAACCGAAACAACAGATGCTTCAACATGTATTCTAACATGATCATGATCAGACATAAATCAGCATCAAAACTGTGTAACATTATGGAATAAAATGTCGACCAATGAAGAGGTAATAATAACTGTCAAGCTTTGGGGTGTTGATCGACTTCATCTATGTTTTGATTATCATTCTAAATCCAATTAATAGTCATTTTTCAGCTTTTTGTTCAAAATCTTGTTTATTTCTTTATTTTTATTTTTTATAAAACTTACCCACATTCAAGTGTTTAAAAAAAGAGTGCATGAAGCTAGAATAAAATGTTTTTATTTACAAGCAGATACCCTGTTCTTTTGATGTTTTGTATGTTCAGATATTCATATAACAAAACAAAAAAAAAATTAACACCTAAATAGGGCGTAGTAGTATACTTAAAGTATGATGCAAAATTTATTTAAAGAACTTATGATTATACTTGCAGTATAAAACTACTAAACTAGTAGTTTACTGAGACTATACTTCAAAGTGTACTAAAATGCTACAAGTATGTAATTAGTAAACTATCAGTGTACCTATTAGTTCACTTTTAGTATAGTTGCAATACAAACTAAAAACATATATGTAAACTAGTTGTGTACTCAAAGTTTACTACTGATATACTAGAAAGTGGGCCAATTTAGTCCGAATGAGTATTGAAATAGTATACACTTACAAGTATACTACTAGTACAAGGATATTTGTATACTTACTATATAAAGTATACTTAAAAATATACTTGAACTTTACTTTAGTATACTTAAACTTGAAATATACTACTTTTTGGTAAGGGAGAGACATTATGAGAAGGTGTGTGAGAACGTTTCCTTTGTGTTTGAGGCATTAGCTCACAAGATGTAACAGATTTGCAGGTTACATGTGGCCATACTGAAAGATTTAGAAATATACTACTTTTTGGTAAGGGAGAGACATTATGAGAAGGTGTGTGAGAACGTTTCCTTTGTGTTTGGGGTCACTGGCTAATTCTGGACAAACTATTTAGGCATTAGCTCACAAGATGTAACAGATTTGCAGGTTACATGTGGCCATACTGAAAGATTTTAAAAACTAGCCTACTAATTCACAAAATCTATAGAGGTTAACTCTATAAACTTAAACCCTGATAGCACACGTACATCACGGAGACTTCTATTTGACGTCTGCATTTACATATGCAAGACGTTTTTTTAGAGTGTTTGCTCATCTGCAATATGTCTATTGGACGTTTCCTATCAGATGTCAAATAGACGTATATTAGATGTCTTTAAGATGTATATGATTTAGAATGTATGTAAAACTGACATCTGAAAGACGTCTGTCAGACGTTTGTACACAGTAGATGCTTTCCAGATCAAGAGATCTTTAACAGACATCTTTCAGACGTATGTGTGCTGTCATGCCAGATGTGTGGGTCAATGTCCACAACAACAATATAAAAAAGTTCAGGTCATCTTTCCCAAACTTTAGTTTACCAACAACTTTTAAACATACCTGCAAAATTTACCTCGCGTATCAACGAAGTGGCTGAATTGTTCCTAATAATCTTCCTTAAAAGGCTGCAAACGTATAGCGCATGCGCACAAGTTGTGATCACTGAGCAGCATAGTGAGCATCTCACTTTTTCAGAACAACGGCAGCAGACAGCTAGGTCACAGGAAACACCAAAAGGGTGCTGTTGTCTAATTCTTAAAATAATAAATACACAATTTATTTTAGTCTTCATCGCCAATCGTTTTTATTATGTCTATAGTTTCAAACTGTTCAGCCATCCTGCACTAAATGAACAGAATAATCTGTGTCCAGCAGATGGCGCACTCAACAAACCAAAACAACGAGCACATGGTAAATGTCAGTACTGCCCCATGCCTCTCTGTGAACAAAGTTACCGCAGGTATCTGCTGCATTCATTTAAAATTGTATGTTAAACACACAGTAAATACAATTCATATGGATACATTCATAAGCAGTGTTTAACCACACTTACTGAAACAAGCAGAACAACTTTGGAATCATTTTTTTCGCCTTTTATCTAACATTTAAAACATTACTCTTGAGCAGTGCCAGGCTGAAAGTGGGAAACCGCAGATGCAGATGCAAACACCGCCCCTCCACCCCGCCCCCCTCATCCTATTACTACGAGCAGGTGCTGGCCTATCGAGTCCGATACACTTTCACCCTTCAAGGATGTTTTGATCGTCAAGGATCGCGTGCATCTGATACATAACCTATGTTGCCTTAAATTCGACGGAATACCTGTACAGAAGGAAGAAGATAACAGAGATGCCTGAAATCAACATTGCTTAGCCTACAGGAGGGGCTGATAAAGGTAACGGTGGTCTTTGTTTATCCGCTCACAATAAAAGCTATACATTTAGTTCAAGGCTAAACGTGCTAACAGCGTGACTTCTGAGAAAACAGTTAGAAAATACTTATATAAATATCACTTTTTTCACTTCTTTTTAAAACTGTTGAAATAGATTAGTGAAACTCCACCACAGCGGCGTCCATTGTGACCAACCTGCTTAAACGTTTATTTATTTCGCATCTGTACCAATAAGCACGCAGCAGTATATAAACAATATGGCCACCTAATGAATGCAATAGATGTTTATTGTCGGGATTATTAATGAACTTACCCCAAGTTATTTAAGGCATTTCTAAGAAATTGAAATCGAAGATCCGTTTTTGACAGTCGCATCTCAACTCTGAAATATTTTTGAGCTGCGGATGTCTAAGACTCCAAAAAAAAAATTATAATGTTGATTAATAAGTAATGATAAATAGTAATAATATGTTCATCCTTGTAATACCTTGTAACAGCATGGAGACATATTATCCATTTACTTAGGCTACTTATTGACGTGGTAACTTTTAATAAGAACATACGAATATTTTAATAAGAACCCATTAGGCTACATTACCCAACATTATATAGCTAATGCTTAAACGTTTATTTATTTCGCATCTGTACCAATAAGCACGCAGCAGTATATAAACAATATGGCCACCTAATGAATGCAATAGATGTTTATTGTCGGGATTATTAATGAACTTACCCCAAGTTATTTAAGGCATTTCTAAGAAATTGAAATCGAAGATCCGTTTTTGACAGTCGCATCTCAACTCTGAAATATTTTTGAGCTGCGGATGTCTAAGACTCCAAAAAAAAAAAATTATAATGTTGATTAATAAGTAATGATAAATAGTAATAATATGTCCATCCTTGTAATACCTTGTAACAGCATGGAGACATATTATCCATTTACTTAGGCTACTTATTGACGTGGTAACTTTTAATAAGAACCCATTAGGCTACATTACCCAACATTATATAGCTAATGCTTAAACGTTTAGAACTTACAAGTTACAAAATAGATAAGAGTAAGAAAATGTAAGTTTTGTGTTCTGTGTCGTCTCCACAGGCCTCTGGTGTACCTTCTAAGACCCCAGGGTAAAAACCCAGAATTAAAATCCTAATTATTACTGTTAGTTATGTTAAAAAGAATATCAAACTATAACAATGTTTTTGGTTAGAGATGTGGGTTCAGAATGTGGGTTAGGTATTTTCGTGTCACTTGTAATCTTAATTGAACCAGGGATTTAAGCTAGTTCTTGAAATTCCTTTGAGAATAAAATTCTGACTGACAGCCAAGAAATGTGCTTTGTTGTGTTTAAAGAGCCAACAATGTAATAATTCACTATAGAGAAAGAAAGCATATCAACACCATGCAGAGGCATGACCAATTTATCTGTAAGAATTTGTACTATTATTATGCATTGTAAAGGCCATATCTGTGTGTGTGTGTGTGTGTGTGTAAGAGAGTGAGAGAGCAGACTCATAATTTT